CTTCCCACTGAGCCAAGCAGACCGCTCCTCTTGAGAGGGCGAAGGCCAAGCCCAGGTCAGCATGGGGAAGGAGGGAAGGGTCAGGGAGGAAGAAGGGGGGGCGGGTCAGCGAGGGACAGGGACCCGAGAGTGAAAGGTAGAGAGTGGGGAGTGGGGGAGGTGCTGTCTATTTTGTTATTTATTTTGGGCTGGGGGGGCAATTCTTGGCCCTTCTGATCTACTCCTGAACAGGGAGTGGGGAATCACAGGCAAGTAAAGGGAACCAAGCTGGCACTCTCCCCAACGCCTAAAGGCCCTGCTGTCCACGCCCTGCCAAAGCTAGGGACAGGTCTGGAGTGGGGAGTGGAGCAGGAGAAGGGAGGGGCTCCGGGGAGCCCGGGGGCCAGAGGGCTCATTTACAGTATTTACAAGTCATCAGTATTTGGTAGTGAGCTTGGCCTGCTCTGAAGCAGGCATCTTACTTAGCTCCGGGGTGAGGGTCTGGCACCTGGGATGGGGGGGATGATGGGGAAGGAGGGAAATTTTCGCGGGTGGGGGGCGGGCAGGGTATTTATTTAAATTAAAAAGCAAAACAAAAAACTCAGAAGAGATGTCAGGAACTTTTTTTTAATTCCTTTCTTTTCAGAATAATATATTAAAAGACTAACGATCCTAGAACTGGCTTCTTATGTTTCAGTGCGCTCCGCCTTTCATATACCTGTCCCGTTTTCACTCTTGCCCCTGGTTGGTGGGAGCCAGAGGTTGTGCAGGGCGGGTTACTATGGCACGTGAGAGGGAGAGGTGGAGCTGGAGGAAAGTCTTTGGGAACGCTACCGTGCAGTGACTCAGCAAACCCTAACAGCATCTGATGTGTGTGTGGCCGTGCGCCGATGCAGAAGGAACGTTCCGACTGAAGCCTGTCCTCAAGCAGCTTGTAGTCTATTCAGGGAGGTGAGATACCTGAGCCGTCACCAGGCAGTGCTCCAGGAGTAGGAGAGGGAGAGAGCTGGACTCCTCCGACAAGGTACAGTGAGCCTAAAAGTACAGGTAAGGTTTGGATGAGCAGGGGGAAGGTCCCAAGCTCGTGTCATGATTATCTGCCGTGGTGGGATGGGCACAGCAACTGTGTTTAAATAATGCTGAGGGCAGTGAGTCAACCTTGATGAAGCTGGTGGAGAAGGAGGGGCCTCAAAGCAAGAGGCTGGTCCTCAAGAAGGAATCCAGGGAGGAGGATAAAAAGAGTGTCTGGGAGAATGGAGGGCAAAGGGACAGTTTGCAAGGTGCAACTGAAAGAAAACATCCTCTGATGGGGATGAAGGAGCCGAAGGGGGTATCCACGAAGCCCAAGTTTGGCGCTCAGGTGACTGAGGAAATGATCAGCCTGACATAGCATGGAAAGTGGGGTTGAGAGGGGCTATGAGGGAAGAATGTTGACTGTGAAGCAATGGTGAATATTCAGGTTTGTTACCAGCTAGACCAGAGATTCAAAAATGCAATGGATGATACCAGAGATGTCTTTTAGTGGTATGAAGAACATTTTTTAAATGCTTTAATAGTTTTGTATTTATATTCATGCATATTAGAGAAATTATAATCAGCACATCAGAATACTACTTGTTATTTCACGGCAATTATTGCACAAGATAAGGCTAAATTTGTTTTTAATGAATTGGTTCAAAGAAAAACAGTAAGCAAGTAAATAACAGTACAGGTGGAATACAGAATATGAAAAATTATGACAGTGGTGTGAGAATTTTTGAAATTTAGGAAATACCAAGTTAGAGATAAGACGATGATGGTTTGGGAGAGCTGACAAGACTGTGGATGTTAGGAGTCATCAACATAGAGATGGTACTCAAGGCCAAGACTGAGCTCCATAGAGAGGGTGTGGACAGAGATAAGAGTTAAGAACAAGGAATAGCTTTTAAATTATTTATGTTTGTTTTTAATTTCACTATATATATATAGTGAAATGATCACCCTGATAAGTTTAGTTGACATCCATCACCACAAATACTTAAATTTTTTTTTCTTGTGATGAGAACTTTTAAGATGTACCCTCTTAGCAACTTTCAAACATAGAATATAGTATTGTTAATTATAGTTACCATGCTGTACATGACCTCTCCAGGACTTACTTATCTTATAACTGGAAGTTTGTACCTTTTGACCACCTCCCATTTTTCCCCACCTCCCACCTCTGGCAACCAATCTCTCTGTATCTATGAGTTTGGTTTTCCTTCTTTTTTTTTTTCAGATTCTACACATAAATGAGATCATACAGTATTTGCCTTTCTCTGTCTGACTTATTTCACTTAGCATCATGCCTTCAAGGTCCACCCATGTTGTCGAAAATGGCAGGATTTCCAATAGCTTTCTAATAATTAGTTAGGAAGTTAATGGAAGGAAATATCTCATTTATAAGAGCAACAAGAATCATAAAATATCTGAGTACTTTAACAAGAAAAGTATAGGACCTCTATTCGATTAATCAATAAAACTAAAGTACTTTGAGTTTCTCAACCAAGGAAGACTTGAATAAGCAGAGTAATAACTAGTTCTTAAATAAGAAGACCGTAATGTAAAAGATGTAAGTCTTCCCTAAATCAGTAAATTCAGTGAAGTCTCTAAATCTCAAAAGGATAATTTGGGAAACTTGACAAAACAATTCAAAAGTTTATCGAGAATGATAATGAGAAAAACCAGAACATTCCGAAACAGATGAGTAAGGGGGGGACCTGGCCTATCAAATATTGAAAGCACAGTGAGCTGGGATTGGCACAGGAATGGCACAATCTATCAGAACAGAGTCCAGAAATAGCAGCAAATGCACATGGGAATCTAGCATGTACATGGTAAAGGTGGCACTTGAATAGTGGGGAAAAGATTATTTGATAATTGTTTCTTGAACAATTAGCTAGTCAAGGGAGAGTGTGGGAAGCTGGATTTCTGTTTCATTCATTACATCGAAAGATTTAAATGTAAAAACAAAATATTAAAAGGGAGAAGTGGGTGAACATTCTTATAACCTTGGGAGGGAGGAGGCCCTTCTAAAATGATATGAAAACCAGTAACGTGTAAATCAACTATACTCCAATAAAAATTAGAAAAAAAAAACAGTAACAAATAAACCAAAAGACATTTAAGTTTGATCTCATTCACAGCTAAAACTTCTATATGGCAAAGTCGAACTAGAAACATTAAACAAGGAAGCTATTTCTAACACATATTAAAAAGATTGATACAATATATAAGAAAGATTTGTGAGTTGATAAGAAAAAGAAAAAACAACCCCAGCAAATGCGAACAAAGGACATGAACAGACAATTCACCAAAGAAAGAGAAATTACCAACAAACGTACGTGCTCAACCTTAACAATAAGTAATGCAAAAACCATAAAACCATAATAAAACACTTTTCACCCATCAGACAAAACTGAAAAAAATTCGTAACATCAGTCTGGCAGGTACGTGCAGAAGACAGGCATTCATTGTGTAAAATGTAAATTAATACAGTCTCTCTGGAGGTCGGTTTAAAAATATTTATGAAAATCTTAAATGTGCATGGTTTTGACTCAGAAATTCCATTTCCAGGAATTTATCCTACGGAAATAGTTACACAGGTGTGCAAAGCTAAATGCACAAGGGTGCTAATTGCAGCATTGTTTGAAATAATGAAAAATTGGAAACAACCCCAAAGTTCATCAGTATGGCACTGACTAAATAATTATGGTAACAATGGAAAACTAAAACTGTTAAATAGAATGCAGGAAATATAGATGTTCTAAACACAAGAAGCAGTTCCCAATAAATTAATAAGTGAATAAAGCAATGTGCAGAAAAGTACATACAGAGAAAGCCCAGTTTTAGAAAAATTATTTATTCATAAACGTTTATGTAGGTCTGGAAGGAAATACACCAGATAGTTGATGGTGATGATTTTGAGGTCTGAGAAGAGAGGGGACTTAAGTTTACTTTTAAAAAATAGTAACATTTATATTGCTTGAATTTTTATGTGTATGTCTTCATTCTGAAATCAGAAAATAGATATTATTTTCTAAAAAGGAAAAACAGTGCTCAGTGACAAGAAGCAGAGGCAGGCACGAGGTGTCAGGGACTGTGGAGCTGGCGTGTGTGGATTCAAGTCCCAGATCAGCACTAACAGCTAAGTTTCTCACTTTCCTTATCTATAAAATGGGAATGATTAGAGGGTTGTTGAGGAGATTGAATAAGATAGCACAGTGCCTCCTTTGAGGCTGAAGAGAGATGGGTAGGGATACCGACCAAGATGGGGGAGATGAGAAAGAGACCAGAACCTCAGCAAGGCTGGAGTGACAGAGTCAGGGTAGGAGGGGCTCAGGCAAAGGCAGGCAGCTGAGGCTGCCATGAGTCAGAGGTACACAGCCCTTCTGCTAGGTGTACAAGATCAAAGGCCTGAGAAGAGTTAGAAGTTGAAAGAACAGGGTGTGCTGGAATTATAAACCTCACATAGCATCTGGAGGAATGAGCATCCCCTGGGAAGTCAGCCTGGACCCAGCCCTGCCTGCCTGACACCTGGTAAAACTCACCTGGGACTCCACATCCCTTCCTGGGGTCACCAAGGCACTTCCAACACTGA